AGCCAGACAGGAACCTCAGTGGAACAATTAGAGACACAAACCAATCCACAAAACTTTCAAACCCAAATTGATCCTGTCTATAAGAAATGCTGTCACTAGGGTTGGAACAGAGACTGAGGGAATTACCTACCTATAACAGGTCCTGACTGGAGACCCATCTTATGGGCAAACAGCAACCCATTACACTATTAATGATACTCTGTTTTGCTTGCAGACTGTAGCCTGACATAACTTTTCCACTGAGAGGCTCTACCTAGCAGTTGACTCAGACAGATACAGACACCCACAGAGAAAGCGTGAATGGATCTTCAGGGCTCTTATAGGAGAATAGGAGGAATGATTTTGGGCCCTGAATTGGATATGAGCTCCACAAAAAGAACAAGATAGTCAACTCACCTGGATGCTTTGGGCTCTCAGATTCTGAACCTCCAACCAAAGAACATACACAGGCTGGACCGAGGCCTTCCCATTCATATATTGCATATGTGCAGCTTGGTCTTCAAATAGGTTCAGAACAACTATAATTGGGGTTATCACAAAAGCTGTTGCCTGTATATGGGTCATGTTCTCCTAACTTGGCTGCCTTGTCTGTCCTCAATGGGAGGTGAAGTGCCTAGCCTTCCAGAGACTTGAAGTGTCAGAATGTGAGGTGATATGGAGGGGATGCCCATCTGCTCAGAGAAGAAGGGGAAGATGGTCAGGGGGGATGACTGCAGAAGTGGGTTACCCATAGGGGGTTAGTGAGTGGGCTGTTACATGAATAAGTAAAATTAAAATTAAAAAAAATGAAGAGTTAAGAGCTCAGAGTTTCCATTTGACAAAATTCAAAACCCCTTCATGTTAAAAGTCTTGGAAAGATCAGGAATTCGGCTCATACCTAAACATAGTAAAAGCAATATACAGCAAACAATTAAGCAACATTAAACTAAATGGGGAAAAACTTGAAACAATCACACTAAAATTAGGGAATAGACAAAGTTGCCTATTTTCTCCCTATTTATTTAATATAGTACTCAAGGTTCTAGCTATAGAAATTAGAAGACAAAAGGACATCAAATGGATACAAAGTGGAAAGGAAGAAATCCAAATATCATTATTTGCAGATGATATGACAGTATATTTAAGTGACCCTAAATATTCGACCAGATAACTCCTTCAGCTGAAAAACAACTTCAGCAAATTTGCTGGATATAAAATTAAAACATACAAATCAGTAGCCTTCCTCTACTAAAAGGATAAATGGGCTGAGAAAGAAATTTGGGAAACAACACCCTTCAGAATAGTCACAAATAAGGTAAAATATCTTGATGTGACTCTAACAAAGCAAGTGAAAGATGTATATGAAAAGAACATCAAGAAATAAATTGTAGAAAGGAATTGAAGACATCAGAAGATGGAAAGATCTCCCATGCTCATGGATTGGGAGGATTAACATAGTGAAAGTGGCCATCTTACCAAAAGCAATCTACAGATTCAATGCACTCTTCATCAAAACTCCAACTCAATTCTTCGCAGAAATTAAAAGGGAAATTCACAATTCATTGGGAACAACAAAGACCTCAGAATAGTGAAAACTATTCCCAACAATAAGAGAACGTCTGGGGGAATCAGCTTCCCAGATCTCAATCTTTACTACAGAGCAATAGTGATAAATACCACATGTTACTGGTACAGCAACAGACAGGTAGATGAATGGAATAGAATTGAAGACCCAGAAATGAATCCATGCACATATAGTCATGTGATTTTTGACAAAAAAGCTGAAACCATCCAGTAGAAAAAAGATAGCATATTCAACAAATGGTTCTAGCTCAAGTGGCAGTCTGCATGTAGAAGAATGCAAATTGACCCATTCTTATCTACTTGTACAAAGCTCAACTCCAAATGGATCAAGGACCTCCACATAAAACCAGATACATTGAAAGTAATAGAAGAGAAAGTAAGAACTATACTTGAACACATTGGCTCAGGGGAAATTTTCCTGAACAGAACACCAATGGCCCAGTCTCTAAGATCAACTGTAAACAAAAGGTATGTTATAAAATTGGAAAGCTTCTGTTAGGCAAAGGACACTGTCATCAGTACAAAATAGTATTCTATAGATTTGGAGTAGACTTTTACCAATCCTACTTCGAATAGAGAGCTCATGTCAGAAATATACAAGAACTCAGGAAGTCAGATGCCAGAGAAACAAAAAACCCTATTAAAATTGGGGTAGAGAAGTAAACAAAGAATTCTCACCTGAGGAATCTAGAATTACAAAGAAGCACCTAAAATAATTCAACATCATCAGTCATCACGGAAATGCAAATTAAAATGACAGTGAGATTCCACCTCACACCAGTCAGAATGGTGAAGATTAAAAAACTCAGGTGATAGTAGATACTGCTGAGGATGTGGAGAAATAGGAACATTCCTCCATTGTGTGTGGGATTGCAAGCTTGTACAACTACTCTGGAAATTAGTCTGGCAGTTCCTCAGAAAGCTGGATATAGTATTACCTGAGAACCCAGCTATACCAAACCTGGGCATATACACAAAAGATGCTCCAATATATAACAAGGACTCATGCTCCATAATCTTCACAGGAGCATTATTTATAATAACCAGAAGCTAAAAACAACCCACATGTTCCTCAAAAGAAGAATGGATATAGAAATTATGGTACATTTACAAAATGGAGTACTACTCAGCTATTAAAAATAATGACTACATGAAATTCATAGGTGAATGGATGAAACTAAAAAATATCCTGAGTGAGTTACCCAAGTCATAAAAGAATACACATGGTATATACTCACTGATAAGTGGATATTAGGAAAAAATTGGAATACCTATAATACACCTCACAGACCACATGAAACTCAAGAAGAAAGAAGAGCAAAGTGAGGACGCTTCAGTGATCCTTAGAAGGGGGAACAACAACAACAACAAAAAACTCTCTTGAGATAGAGTGTCGAAGGGAATTGAGATCAAAAGAGGACGGGGAGGGAGACAGGAGGGTCAGGATCAAGTGTGGGACATGTACAGAGGGTTAGGAAATTGAATATAGGTGTGTAGCAATGCAGGATGATGAATTGGTGGTAGCAGCAAGGAAGTCAAAGATGCCACGAAAGTAAGAGGCTCCCACTACTCAATGGAGATGACATTAGCTGAAATATCTCAAAAAGGAAAGAAAGAACCTGTAGAGACCATATCCAAGGCTTAGGCATGGCCCCTGTTTGAGGGATGAGGCCACCCACACATATTAAAAAATTTTACACAGTATTGCTCCTATCTAAAGGAAATACAAGAAGAAAGAGTCAAGCAGAGATTGAAAGAAAAGCCTTTCAGAGACTGCCCCACTCAGAGATCCATCCCATATGCAGACAATAATCCTATACACTATTGATAATGACAAGATGCTCTTGCTGACAAGAGCCTGGTATAACTGTCCTGAGAGGCTCTGCCAGAGCCTGAACAATACAGATGCAGATTCTTGCAGCAAACCATTTGACTGAGCACAGGGACCACAATGGAGGAGTTAGGGGAAGGACTGATGGAGCTGAAGGGCTTTGCAACCCCATAAGAAGAACAACAGTATAAACCAAGCAGATAACCCAGAGCTCCCAAGGACTAAACCACCAACCAAAGAGTACACATGAAGGGACCCATGGCTCCAACTGCATATGTAGTAGAGGATGGCCATATTTGACCTCAGTGGGAGGGGAGGCCCCTGGTCCTGTGAAGAGTCTGTGCCCCACCATACAGGAGTGCTAGGGCAGTGAGGCAGGAAGGATGTGGGGGTAGCATCCTCATAGAAGCAGGAGGATAGAAGGATGGAATAGTGGGTTTACAGAGAATAAACTGGGAATTGGCATAATAATTGAAATGTAAGTAAGTAAAATAAACAATGAAAATTTTAAATAAAAGAGCTTGGAGTTTCTCCCCTGGCATTCTTGCTATAACAAGATAATTCAGTTTTGCTTTGTCAGGAGTATTGACCCCATAAATCATTCATTCCTGTTACTGGGCTTCAGTCTGCTATCAGCATGATGTCACATCACCAATGCGCTCATCATCTGTTGCCTTCTAGTGAGAGAGAGACAGACAGACAGACAGAGAGAGAGAGAGAGAGAGAGAGAGAGAGAGAGAGAGAGAGAGGGAATGAAATTGTGCTGAACAGTCTCCCTGAATGTATTTTTACTGGATTTCTCTAAGTAATGATCTGTTTCCTTTTTAATGAACTTTATCACATTTATAATGCTGCACTTAAGGTCATTTTCTTGTACTTCAGCTGAGTTGGAATATATTGGGCTTGCTGTACTTAGGTAGCTGGGTTCCAGTGTTACCGTATAGCCTTGATTGATGTAAATATTATTATTATGCTGGCCTCTAGTCATTTGTCAATGGGATTGTTAGAAATTTAGGTGCCAGTTTCTAAGTTCATCTATGATGAATGAACTTTTTCTTTAGGTTTCTCTTTCTGTTCCAGTCTTCTTTGTAAGTGCCACATTTTCTAGTGGACAGAGAGTCTTCAGGTCCAATAAGAAACCTCCACTGGGGTTTTTTTGTGGCATGAGTGACCTCTGGGGCTCGGAAGATGGCTCTGGATTTCTAGAATTCAGAAAAATGCCATGGCCACTGTGGTTATGGATACCTATAGGGCTTCTAGGGTTCTAGATTTTTACTGGGATTTCTACTGATGTTTTGTCATCCAGAAGACCAGGAGAATTCTCCTGAGCTTAGACCTGGTATGTGGAGGCTCTGGGATATGAGGCTATAGGAGAATTCTGAGTGAAAGTTAAGGAGTTTTATTAGGCTGTGTGCATTATATTGACTGAAGATATTAACAGCAGTGTGTCTTTCTATAAAGCTGGAGTTTGATGCCAGAGTTTTGGGCAAGAATTAGTTCTTACCTACCCTGAAGTAAATTTACTGTGCTTGGTGTATGCTGCCTGCCCCTGTTGGTGCAGAGCTGCTCTTCAAGGAGGTTTACGTCTGGTCTCACAATGAAGACATCACACTGTGCTTCTTGCACAGTAATATGTGGCTGTGTCCTCAGTAGTCACAGAGCTCAGCTGCAGGAAGACCTGGTTCTTGGATGTGTCTCTAGTGATGGAGATTCGACCTTCGAGTGATGGGTTGTATCCAGTGCTACTATAGTATATGTATCCCATCCACTCCATTTTATTTCCTGGGAACTGTCGGATCCAGTTCCATGTATAATCACTGTTGATGGAGGAACCAGTGACAGAGCAGGTGAGCGACAGTGTCTGAGAGGGTTTCACAAAGCCAGGTCCTGACTCCTGAAGCTGCACCTGGGACAGGATACCTTCAGACAAGAAGAGTCAGTTCTGTTAACCACACATTACAAAAGAACCCATCACGGACACATGTATTAAATGACAACACTCACCAGGAAGGGCTGTCAACAGGTACACAAGACTCAAAATTCTCATCTTTTAGGCTACACCTCTTTTCCTTTAGTGATCAGCCTCCAGTGAGAGGTATGTGAGCTGATCCAGCCCAGAAGAGGATTTAACTTAGAGCTAGAAGTTCCATTTGCATGTATTGAGTCAGCATTGCCTTCATAATTGGGGAGGATGAATGCTGACTGCATTTGTTTATGAAAGTAAGACCATCACTGTCTCTAGCTTCTTATAGTGTATGCCTGAGAAAAAAAGAGCACTAAGACTGTTGGAATCACATCTTGATATGATTCCACTGTCCCAGCCTAGACCAACCTCCCATCAGACACTTTTCTGATCCTGTGTTTTCAATGTCTCAAATCAGTGCCAACCTTCATTTTACACTTAGAATCCTGTATTTTTGCCTTCCTTTTAGTAAGTCCACACTATTCCTAATTTTCTTCCTACCCATAATATGTTTTCATCTTTCCTTAATCTTGGTACACTGTCTATTTGTTGTTGCATGGAGGATCTGGTATATTTTCAGTAGAGAGTCCTTAGATGTATGTACAGGTATGATGTATGTAAGCCACATTACATTTGTAATTTTACTATTTGGGAGACAATCCAGACAAAATCCATAGGAACTAAAACAGGTTAAACCAACCATGTATTGTGTGTCTGCTCTTACCAATTACTCATCAGCTTTTGGTGTTATTTCCTTAATAAATATCATTGTTACATGGATTAGATGAAATCTCAAACTACCTTCTTAATTTTCATTTTCATGATCAATCAACATTTCGAAAACCTGAAAAAGTATTTAATATTTATTTGTTTTATGCTCTTTTTCCATTCTACAAAGGACATATAAATTTTTCAAAGAATCTCTGCTATATGCCTGTTCAATCAATTCATATATGGCTTTTCACAGGCTAAGGGTAGAATTCTGTGGGTTGTGCAGACAATTTAGCAAATAACCCACTGTGCCTATTTTGTGTCTAATCTCATTTTATATCGAGGATAGAATTCTCTCAGTGTCTGATCTATTACAGTTATGTCAGCTCAGTATTGTCTGCTGGAGCATTTTATGAGGGTTAGAACAGCATAGAAGCAGATTTAGGAACATCACAATGACTGTTGGTGTGATAGGAGTTGGAATTTTCCAGATTATAGTATGCTCATTTAAAATGCCAGGTCAGTAGAATTCTGACATGATATCTGATTGTGGAATGGGTACTGTCTGATGAAGCTCCTATGGTTTACAACAATGGACTGTCTGGATACTACCTTAACAGCAGAATGATAATCTCTGGGTGGTGGATCTAGTTATTTATTTATTTTATTTATATGAGTACACTGTAGCTGTCTTCAGACACACCAGAAGAGGGCATCCAATCTCATTACGGATGGTTGTGAGCCACCATGTGGTTGCTGGGATTTGAACTCAGGACCTCTGGAAGAGCAGTCAGTGCTCTTAACCGCTGAGCCATCTCTCCAGCCCCCGGTGGATCTAGTTATAATGAGCCTGAACCAATAGATTTTATAAACCCCTTACATACACTTCCATCATTTACCATGGTGTATATAAGCTCCTCCCTACCAAACTAGAAATTACTGAATGTTAAAATGATCAAGGAGAAGTAGAATTAACTTCATGAGGGAGGCACCAACGCTCATGGGAAATCACCCATTTTCACACTGGTTTGATTCCCTACGGATGAGAGGTGTTTAATATGTCATGAAACACTCTAAGTAAGTTTTATTCTGAAGAACTCTTTTGATGAACTTTTTCTTAATGTCTACATGAAGCGTTGTAGAAAATGAAGACAATCAAAGGTACTAAAGAATCTGTGAGTAAAGTGACAGTTTTATTTATCTATGTGCAAAGAAATGTTCCTGGTATTTGTGGTTATTTCCTTAATAACAGCCACAAAGGCAACATTTTAAAGTAGGCTTTCACAAACTTCTAAATATTCACTTTTATTCCTAACAACGCTTGGGACACACAGTGCCTAAATTTTTTCTACTTTGTATTCTTTCAGTTGCTCCTTGGTTATGCAAGAATGGTGCAATCAGAACACCTCTTTAACCACATAACTAAAGGAGTGCCAAAACCATGTGAATCTGGAGTGAGAGATGCATTCTCTGCAGCCTAAGGAGCTAAGCTTTTGTAAACAATATGAATATGTAAGAACAGCAAGTCTCTCCTATTTAAACCCATAGTAAGAACTTACCATTAGTCATTTCAGAGAAGAAAGTGTACATCTTTGATAAGGAAATGCCCTATCATTATAGGATGTGCTGTAGCTTTAATGTATACAGAGTGAGTATACATTGCACAATTGAAGAATCTCTGTCAGAAAGGATTGCCAGAATGCAACTGAGCTGATTGTGGAATTTAACATTAGTTATACTATATTCTATAATACTATTTCCAACCAAATATTCTGAGCATAACATAACCTGGGATGTATTTTTTCAGCCCTCTCTTCAAAGTCTCATAATGCACCTAGGCTTGGATTCTCACAGGTGTTTCTGGAAGCCATGGCATGGGTTTCAATCATCAGAGAAATTTAATAACCCCTTCCCTTTCCCCAGTTTCATTTAAAACTAATTGTTGGTTTCATGCTTCCTCAGGATGAGATCCTGGTCCCCACAGGGGAGTCACATCTGACTTGTAAATGCTCTGCGTTTTGTTCTGAATAAAACACTTCCTGTATTTAAATATGTTCATAAGAATTAAAGATGAATTTATTTGAAACCATTCATATAGTGCATTTTTACCATTCACTATCCTACTCCTATTGACCTGTCGCTCTCTGTGTGCCAGTGCCCCCTGCTGGCCATGAGCACCTTGTGGACAGTTTTGTGCCAGAGCTCACAATTTGCTTTCCTTACCATGTATCTCAGATAGTACTACATGGCAATGTCCCCCTTTCTCAGACTGTACATGTGTAGATAAAATAAGTTCTTACAATTGTCTCTGGAGATGTCAAATTGTCCTTCTCAGTCTCTGTATAGTTTTTAAATTGTTGTCATATTTTATATCTGCTAACAACTTTAGCCTCTTCCCTCTGACTTGACAAATACAGTGCATCAAGTAATCACTGAAGGTGAATACAGAGATGTCAGAAGAGAGTTTAAGGGACACTTGAGGCTGTACCAAACTCCCTGCAGATTCTACCAGCTCCAACGATGTATGCCTGAAAACAGAGATAATCCTAGTCAGAAATCTGTCACGTATATCTACTACTCTCTTATGCATGTGCACTTTAAAAAAAAAAACAGAGTCTCTTCTCTGTGCATTAACTTTTGAAAGGCCAACAAAGAAAAGCAGATCTAAGCCCAATTCATAGTGAGTAGTCTGTTTTCAGTACTAATCACTGAATTGGAAGACCTGGGGGGAATCCAGGGCTGAGCGCCTCTGAAACAGGTGTGATTCGACACTTGGATGAGTTTGATGAAGCGCAGAAGCTCCTGTTTGCATCACCTCTCCATAAATAGCAGGCTCTGGAGTAGAAATATAAGAGAAGACAATGCTCAGAGAAGATGCAAGGATCATTTTGGTCATTTACTATTATGACAATTATATGTAGTTATGTCTTTTTTTTATAATATGAAATTTAAATAGCATCATCCAATGTCATGTTTCCAGATCAAGCTCAGGTCTGGTGTGCTTTCTACAGAGTCTGGATTTGTGCTTTTCCACTCTGTGTACATCTTCTCTCTGCGACAATACTCGGTCAGAATCACACTTGTCTGATGAAGTTCTAAAATCCCCCTCAATGTGATGGGAAAACTTTTGATGTTATTTACTTTCAGTTAATGAAAACATGAAAGCACATTTTATTTGAAGCAAATGTTCTTGACATCAGATGACTACACATTTATAATCTCACATTCTAAGCATCCACACACATAGAAACTTGTGTAACTGGCAACATAGTCACAGATGTGAAAACATATATTGTCCTGAACTTATCGACAATACATGTGATTAAATCTACTTCTGACCTTAAATTTTCTTGCTCTGGTGACAAGAGACATTGATTCTGTGCTATGCTTTTTTTGACTCACATATCTGTTTTTATAAAAGCAACGTTTGTTCTTTCAACTGCTTTTGGATCAGTATTATATTTAGCTCATTTAGTAATTATATGATGTAAACATTATTCCCTGAACTAGGAAGGATAATCTTGGTGGAAACAATCAATTCAATGCACACAGATTGTAATGACCTGTTCTGCCCCATGTATGGGGTGGGGGCCACTATGTCCTGGTCCATTCTGGTCAGTCAACAGGGTCTAGCAAGAGAGAGAGTGGGGGATGGAGGGGTAAGAAATGTGAAGAATGGAGACAAGACAGAGTCTGTTAAAGTCTTGGTTATTGAAAGGAAATCATGGGTATATATAAGAATAAGCAGGGGAATGGAGCTGAAGACACTTCACCACATTCACTTTGCAGCTGAGGGCATTAAACAACAAAACAAGATATGTGAGAAAAACAAGATGTTTATCAGAGTGTGCTCAGCTGTTTCGGGCTGTTGAAAACAAGTCTCTTGTCAGGGTATATGGCCTCAGATGGCTGCAATGATGACAGCAGCTTTTTGCTAGGACTTGGCTCACAACAGGTCCCTCTTTTTAAATTTTCTTTAGAAGGGAAGGCTGGGAAAACTTAAGGAAACTGTGTCTGCCTTAGGTCGGAACAAAGGAATCCAGCCTCCCTTTCTGATGGTGAGGTGTCCCAATTAGGGGCAAGGGTCTTGAAATGTTCTCTTACCTTTCATTGACTATCTGGCTTAGCGCATAAGTTAGGGGTTAATCCTTGTCAGTCTCTATGACAGAGGTTTTAGAGTCCTCTACTTCCAGCCTGTAAATATGGACCTGTATGGATTTCATCTGAATAGCATCTATCTGTTGTCATACAAAAGCCATCAGTTTGTTAAACAGCATGAACCTGAGAGACATAGGACTTAACAATGCCTGAATGGTTGGTATAAAAGCAACATTCTTTTTTAAGGACAGGACACAGTTCCTCCTTATAGAGAAGTTAAAGATCTAAGCCTTGAACCCTCAAATTTTGAATAGAAGAAATTATACCAATAAAATCCT